ATAATTTAAAGTAACACAATAGTTCCTCAATATTTTATATCAGTTTAGGTAGAAAAGTTTTACCATTATCTGCAAGAAGATCCGGAGGTAAAACAAGTTTTTGACAACCTTGAACCTGAAGTTGAAGGTTCTTGATTTGCGAACCCCTCTGTGTTTTCCGGCAAGTATGACTAAGATGTATCTCTTACGATTGATCCTGAAGGCCGACAAGTAATATAATATCTTATGTGGATAGTTTCCGCAACACTAATAGATGTCTTTTTTTTACGGACGCTGTTGGTCTCATTTTTAGGCTAATAATAGTTGTTTACTAGTTTAAAATTCTGGTTTTACTTCTGTTGAAATATTTCTTTTTGTTTTTCATGTGATGCCTTTCCATTTAGAATGTACTTGCATTTTAAAAAGAGGGTTCCTGAATTTTCCAGTGTCTCGGTTTCAAAATTTTTTAAGAGTGTTGCTGCGTTTTCGTTGAAATTTACTGTGCAAACCGTGCCATATGGAGTCGTTCGAGATGACTCTCCATATTAGAATACTAGTCATTTAGTTAAAAACATGCATTTTTGGAGGTATGTGTGAAATTTTTATCTTTATTCGGGCAAACAAACTAATTTGAACGTTTATTGCGATGAGTATCGGTTTTTATTAAATAAGTTAATGACTGCTATAACACAGAAGTGAAACGAGGAATATATTGCACATAGAGTTCTGTACCAACAATACTTCAGCATTTTTATGGCATTACTTTCATTGCACTTAAATATATTTTGTTTCATACTTCATTAGCGTTTATCTTCGTACAACTTAGTTACATGAATTTACACTTAGATACTCTCTTAAGAGACAAGCATCAAAATAAAATGGATTTCTTTGTTGTTTTCGATGATGACGCTTTTGTTTTATAAGTTGACGGCCCACAGAAACACATCCGCAAAGTCGGTCCAGTAACGGTTCCACGGCAGTAGCAAGAGTTCATTTTCCGATAATTGTCTTTCCAGCACAGATCGCGACATGTGTTTTCTATACACCGATCGAGACTCCCAAATGAGCTAAATGTGACTATATAGGAAGGGTTTTCAGAACTTCAGAATAAGTCGGTTAAACTGTTTCAGTAGAAAATTTAAAAAATATCCACCAATCAACTGGCAAATGAAACTTCTTTTAGTAGCGTAAAACCTCAAGAAGTTGCAGTTACTGCAATTTGAGATGGTTTTTTAATTTATATATCATGTAAGTCTTGTTTCTAGTCACAGTCTTCTAAACGGACTACTGTTCTCTTCTATTTCGTTTTTCGTTTTAAACGTTTGATTCTACTGAGAACTGAGAAAACAAAAACTACAAGTCACAGTTGTCTTGTCAATACAGTTTTTGAGGAAATTGTAATGTTCAAATTTTAGAGGGATTTCTTATTCGAAGTATGCTAATTTTTATGAGGCCAGTGCTCTTGAAAGTGTATAAGACATCAGTTTGAAGATGGTAGTGAGCATCTTTCAACTGTTTTCAGAAAGGCGTGATTTACCTTTTTAGTTACTCAGCCTTTTTTTTCAATAACAGAATAAATTATTAAATAAGTAACCATTGTATCTGTGGGAATGAAGGATAAGAAGTGTTTCTTGAACAAAATTTTTTTATTCTGATTAATGATGTGCAAAAATCTGCTCTTTCTGTTGACTGGTTAGAAACATTTGTCGACAGCGAGACTAGCAGATTAGAAGCGGTAAAATACATTTTCAAATGTGGTACAGCCTAACAGGGAAATTATTTTTATTGCTTATCAGTCTAATCAAAAAGGTCTATTGAGAAGGCTTGTCAAAGAGGCTTACTAAAGGCTCTAATTTTTAAGGTCAATTTTCAAGGTCAATTTTTTTCCTTCTGTCACTATTGTCTCTCACGTCATAACCAAAGGGACGATGGCAAACAACAGCGCGGTTTTTCTAGTCCTATAATGGTCATCAGCAAAGTTCTAGAAGTTGTGTCTAGATCTTTAGAGATCTCAGTTTCTGCTTCTTCTTGCTTTAATCAGGCTTCTGCACTCTCCCAATACTGTCATCTCTTGTCGCCATCTCACAGCTGTTACAGTGAGTGCATGATAAGGGGGAAAAATTATTAGTGCAACTGCATCACTTCGTTACCGCTAAGTTTTTTTCAAATACACAATTCTTTGGCCCATTTAGAAAGTGTTGGAAAAACTGACTAAAGTTAACTCAACTTTCAGTAATGTACTCATCAGCGGAAAAAATACGACTAATTAAGTTTTCAAGAAGATCGCTTGTAAAATATTTGATTTTTTATTCCATACTAAGTTATTCTGTAAAACTGCAAGATTTAAGAGGTGTTTATTCCAGGATTTGAAATTTTTTCAATTTGAGTGAAAGTTAATCCTCATAACAGCTGCAAGTCTGCAACCGTTATTCCAGTATGTTTTCTTTCTTGAAGACTTGTGTTTGTTTTAGATGGGGATTCATCACTGTATCATCAAAAAGCTGTTACCCGCACGAAAGAGTGTGGGTGCGAATGATTTAACACTGGTCAATACTGTTCTTACCATCTTTATACTGGTAAACTATGTGACAAGAAAACATTTTTCAAAATAGTCATTTAACTAGAAGGTTTTAGAATTTACTCTTTAATTGTTGTAGATTTTGGCTCTTTGTTTTGGGATAATTCACTGTCATCGCAGAACGTTAAAATAACGTGTTGAGAATTCTAATTCTAAACACCCTTTAAAGCTTCTCAGTCAAATTTAGCCAACAACGAAGCATACATTTCGCAATGAAAGTTCAGAATTCTGTTTCGCTTCGCTCCTATCTAATTGCGAATAATTTGATGGTATTAAACATCTTGAATCATTTTTGACCATTTTTCCTCGGTCAGAATGTCCAGCGGCAAAAGCGGAAAGAAATTAATCAAAAGTGGTTAATCGAAAAACGAATTTTGTTGTAGAAAATGATTTGCCGCTAGAAACATCTGCTGCCTCATCTTTTTTTTTGCAGATCGAAATAACTGAATTGTTTGCAAAGATATTTTTAAGAATTTGATTGTACTGTATACAGTGTTGGATGTCCAGTTCTTTTAAATAGGCAGTTCTCCAACAAGTGGAAAATGTTAGCCAAACTTTACCCCGATAACAAGATAAATCTTTAAAATAGACGTCTCAAAAAACAAAGTAAGCAGTTGAATAAACTAAAAATTTAATTTTCTTATATAATCGAAGTATTCTATGGTGGGAGCTTTAGAGATTTTAGATATTAAATCATCTTATCTTAGGCGCGTTAGGTGAAGTGTACTTTAGCAGTTATCGTTACAAAGCAGCTAACCGGACGCCAATGACCAATCTGTCGAACAGGTTAATTGAGGGAACCTTAGTAAGTTTAAGAAATGATCTCTGCTCAGGAACGTTTGAAAACCTTTTTGAAGTTCGATTGGTACTGTTGCGAAGGAATTTAAAGAAAGCTTGAATGATTTTAGCTTGAAAAAACCAGTTATAAATTGGTTTTTGAGCATTATCAATTCCTTTTGTACCCTCCCCTGAGATGATTGCCGATTTTTCATTGAAAAAACCGCGGATTCTGCAGTTCTGTCTAAACTAAACGATTTCTACCATGTTAATAAAACAGTACTCGGAATATACCCTTCCAAACTGAAAGATGATATTGTTTTTGAATCAGACTGCAGGATGCCTAAAAGCATACAGTCTAATTTTTGGTTTGTTCTTACGAGCTAAACCCATTCAAGTCTTCTTTGAAGTCATCTAATGTACCACAAGCTTGACGAGGTACTTAGAACTTTTTAGCGTAGACAGAGTACCGGTATTTAGTGTTTTGGAAGAGCAGCATTTTTGGGAAACTGTTAAAATGGATTGATGGTTATGGAAGTTCTAGTTTTTTTAAAGGAGAAAGAGGAGTCATACTGTCGTTTTTAAAGGCATCAAAGACCGAATTAGCGATGTAAATTTGTGCAGTTAGTGGTTTTAAAGGATCTGTTTAAGCAATGTAACACGCCTTTACTAAAATATTACATTGTGTTGGACCAGTCAAACAGTTTTTAATTTTGGTTATTTTTCTACCCAACAAAACCTTCTGTATCGTTGCTTCAGCGGCAATATATTTGGTCGCCGCAGCAAAGAATAAGGAACATATACATCAAAAAGAAAGGGTATACAGCAAATAATAAATACTAAATGTGAACAGAAGACGCAATAAAGAGCTTTTGTTGGCGATTATGAAGGAAGAGCGGACGTAGTTAAGCATTTCACAAAAAAAAAAAACAATGAAGTAACAAGCGAGACTAGTACCAAACATTATTATTATTATTGTTATTATTATTATTATTATAAATATTAGCTGATTCCGAAAAATCTCAAAATTAATTTATTATTATTGTCTTATTATTATTATTATTATTATTATTATTATTATTATTATATTATTATTATTATTATTATTATTATTATTATTATTATCGTTATTATTATTACTGCCATTACTATCATTTTTTTAATCATAGTTAGTGTTATTACTTACATATTTACACTATGTGTACCGCAATTATTTTCTGCTCTAAAAAAAGGAGAAAAAAGACGGCGATTTTAAAACTCTAATTCGGCATTCGAAAGCCTCCAAAACACCAAAGTAGAATGTGAAGTGTTAGCCACAATTTCTTTTAATTTCATTACAAGCCGTTTAAAAAGATCATCTAGTCACACAATGCTAACGGGAGTTACTATATTTTTGTACTGTGTTTAACAATATTGATACTAGTGATGATACGGACTTCTCACTTATGGCTAGGATGCTAGGTGTAAAAAAAGATGAAATAATGGAAAGGAAGGAAAAAAACGATTTGGACTTACCAGGGCAGTGTGATGTGTGGACTACAGGACGCTTCACATTTTCTTGTCGAAGTTACAAATTTCTGAGGACCTAGCGTAATAAACACCGCGATTATCAATGCCCATCTGAAGGACATCATATTTGTGCAATCGAATTTTTGCATATGATTTGTTTAAACTGAAAATTCAATTCTGGTTAATCGGCAACCGCTGAAAAAACTGCAAACTGGTTTTTTACATGTTTCGTCATGCCTGCGGGCGATTGCATAACTGTGTCCACATGTTTATTTTTTCTATTCTTCTTTTTATTAAAGCCTTCTGCTGTCCACAAGCCTTTGGCTTTTATGTACGTCTTCAACACTCACCAGTTTCATTATTCACTTAATAGCTGAAGACTTTCCTCAACACCGCTTTACCTACAGATTCACACAATGGTGCCAGTGAATAATGGATTTGCTGATCCATCAAAAGCGATGCAGCAAACAGTTTGATTAAAGTTCTTTCACGGTTGACTGCATTCGTTATGGGAAAATTACTTTTTTATGCCTCTTTGAAAAAGCCAAAAGAATAATTGTAACATTTTTTTGCTAGAAAGGAGTACTTAGAGTACAGTTCTGTAGATTATTTACAGCTGTAAATCAAAGATGCTATAGAAAGTACAAATCTTGGTGTTAGGCTTAAGCGTTTGTCATGTACTGGGTGTTATACTTACTCTATTGGTGGAGAAAATCTCTGTGTTTGAGTATATTTTCTTCAAAATAACTGTTAACGAACAAATTAGAGCAGTTAAGCACATCAGGTGCCAACTTCTTATTTAATTCTTTTCTCCCATTTATGCAAGCAAGTTCCGCTGGAGACGTAGCTTTTATAAATATTAGTAAGATGTCTGAAAGTACCGAAACAAAAAGCAAAAAGTTTTTTTCATTCTATTACTCCTGCAGTTAACTATTTTGATAGGAACTGTTTTGTTGTGGACGAGAAATAAATTAAGGTTGCATTACTTTTCACTATCGCCCTGCGCCGAACTTCTACTTCTGTCGGAGGTAGCGTACATTAGGTTTTCCTTGGTATTCGTGGCGTCTTCCACCTGTTTAGTTCTCAGGATGGCTTGATTCTTTGAGTTTCATATTTCAGATTTCCACCTAACTGCATATTCTTATAGCACCGATAGCACCGACATTTCGGCCAGTAGGATCGAATTTTTTACATGAGCAACTGAATAAGGTCATCCCTTTCGCCACTACTGTCTTCTCCTGAAAATTCTTATACATACCGTTGATCTGTAGAAGAGTCTTGCAAGAAACTGGACGAATTGGGAGTCAACAAACAGAGGTAGAGATTAAGTAGGTGACATAAAGCGAACTACTGCTGTGTCTACCTTGTGAAAAGGAGGTGACTGTCAATTTATGCCATTGTCAGGGGGTATCAAAAATTTTTGTGGCGTACCACTTTCACGTTCAGTGTGTGATTGTTTTGTTATAATGGCCAGTAGGGAAATCTTTCAGAATGATAATAAAAAAATCTTTATTTTTTTGTCAGTGGCTTTTGATAGATTGTGAAAAGACAAAAGGAAAAAAACTTGTTTGTATATAGTCGTTAAAAAAATTCTAAGGAAATTTTTTTTTGTTTATCTCATATTTCTCTCAAATGAGGACCATTTTAGTGGTTCGAACATTCCGCTAAAAATTTTGCACTTAACGCTTTTAAACCGTTTTCTTTTCACAAATAATGCTTCACCGTGCTTTTTTTCCAGTTTTTTGATGTCTACTTGGAACTACACTTCCAAAGCAGATCTCCTGAAAATTCTTTTGGTCGCATATTGGTTTTTACTTCCTTCTAACATCTTGTAAAGAATCTTAAATACGCACTGCATTCAAAGGAGGAAGAGCGACAGGGAGCGCACTTCGGTAGGCATTTGATCGGTGTAGAACAAGTCTGAAGCTTCCAGCATTTACAACTAACACCAACTTAGTTTCCTTTAGTTGGTATCAGGAAGTTGAATAACTGTATACTTGATAGGAAAATTTTTCTGAAGATATAGTCGCACTGGCATATAGGAAACTAGGATGGAACTTTGTAACTGCTGAACGATACTAAAACTAGAGTAAAATAGCCAGGTTAAATTTGGTAGGAGCCATCTGATTGCTTCTGAAGTCTGCAGTCTATCTTCATGCGGTTGGTTTTTTCATTGTTTCCTTTAAAATTTTTATAGCTCTATTAACTTGCTTATTGGCATCAAATATACAATTGATTACACTCTTAAAGTGTGAAAATAATTTTTGTGTCTGTAAGCGCCTACTGTAGATATGCTGAAACTGTTGTTGAACCTTAAACCTTCCTTCTTCGCTGCAGCTTCCTGCGTACGGCTTAAAAATGGCCAGCGGTAAATTTCAAATTATAAGAAAGTTTGCATTTTCGGGAAAAACTAGAGAATTCGCGAACCAGAAACTATTGTTGGAAAGGTTATTGGCAAAGAAAACACTGAATAGAAACATATTTAATAAAGTTTGCTATCACTAAAATGATTTGAAAAACTCAGAGTGCAATTCTGCAACGCGTCAATAGCCGCAGTTGAGTGATTTCTTTAACACTTCAAAAAGTGCTGTGTGACAAGTATGAATAGACGAGTTTCTTTTTTTTTTTTCTTTTGTAGGAGGGAGGTTGTTTGCAAATTGTTACTAATCTAAAAGAATAAAAATTGAGAATGGTTTTTATTAGGATTGAGAATTATCGTTAGCACTGTGTTTTTTTTTGACAAATAAGAAGAACTGCAAGGAAATAACACAGAGCTTGGATTAAAACAGTTTTCAATCATCGAGCATTTTTCTCTTGCTTTTCTTATGGCTTTTAGAACAGTAATATAATGAGGAAACACTTGTTCGCATAAGAATCTTGTTGTGGAGACATAGCATCTGTAAAAAAATTTTATTTTGATCATTTCAAGGAAATGAAGTACAGAGAGAAGCGAGAAGTAATGTGGAAAAGCCAAAGGTTTTTGTAAATTAATTTGCAGTTTTTCTACTATTAAAAACATTTAAAAGAAGATTGAAATAATTAGGTAAAAGAGGTCAAAATTGTCTCTATTA